TATAACTGCAGCGTAACTCTACCACATGTTACTATGTTCAATATTGCCCCATTAAGTAAGATTTTGACGGCAGTGACGTAACCGTTTAATGCCGGTGTAAGAGTATCCACTATACCATATTCTCTCTTTTGATGTCGTAAGAGCGAAACACGGAAATGGACAACAGAACCTTCCTGTTAACAACTCAAAATATAAAAAAATTGCTTTTGCTAACTCGTCGAATAACCGTCGCAACTTAAGCAAAATTTTCCCACTGTGGCAATCTATTGGGAAAGCTTATATTCAGAAGTGGATTTTTGTAGGCTGGAATAGATGGATATAATCAACATAATTTAAAGTTTAAAGGCTCGCAACACACTACTGTGTGGTGGAGGCACATGAGAATATATTATTAACTATATTTAAAAAGCTCACAGCACACTAATGAGTGATGAAGGCTTAGTAATAATCTTACACTTAGAAGCCTTCCTTACATGTGTTGTTTGTTGAAACAGCTAGATTATTTTATTTTAGTTATTTCCATAGCATATGAATCTAGCAACAGAGCAATGCGAATAACATTGAAAGTATCGTTGTTTTGCAGAAGAGAACACTAAGAGCCATTTATAAACTAGGTCTGAAAAAATCTCTTAGTGAAAAATTTATTTTAGTTCTTTCCATAGCATAATGAGTTTAGCCAGGGGGTAATGCGAATGACATTGAAATTATCCTTGTTTTGCAGAAGAGAACCCTAAAAGCCATTTATTACCTAGATCCGAAAGAATCTCTTAGTGAAAAATTTAAAGTAACAAATATTAAAACACTAGCTTCTCAATATATTTACGAAAATTTAATATATCTACCCAATACCAAAACTATTTTAATAATTTTTATTAAAAATAGTTACATTCTGGAAATATTAGTCCTCCAGACCGAATTTCGGTCACGGCGGCCTGCCTCAACGGAGGCTAGCCATCGGCGCAGGACAGGATTATAGTGCCCAATTGTATGCATAAGCACAGGTGCACTCTCTATTCCCTCACTCTCATAATCCGATGGGACGGTAAACCGACACGACCGGAGAGAGATCAGGCGCAGGACCAACGGCTTTACGTACTATCCGAGGCACAGGGGTGAGACACCGCCAACTTCCCGACTTCGGGCAACTACTGAGAATTTCTTGACGGCAAAACTCAATAATTAATTTTTTTGCCCGACCCGGTATTCAAACTCAGGACCTCATGATCAGCAGTCGCACTACTACAATCGGTAAATTCGGTCCGATCTACGAGGAACCAACTTACATTATCTTAAAGTATGCTTGGGTTTTGGTTTAATTTTGTTCATTATAGGATCCCAAGCAGATGACAGCACGCATCTATCTTCTCTATTGAAATTTTTTAATTTAAATAGCCTGGCGTATCACCCTTGGTAGGAAGTTGGTGTTCTGTTGTGAGAATTTGTAGTTTAGCAAATCTGATGTAATGATGGGGACGATCTTGTACATGTTCACAGACTGCAGACTTCCTGGAGCGTCGGTGCTTCATGTCAGCTACATATTCTGTAGCGCTGTTGTCGAGATCCATAAATCATCCGTGCAAAACCGGGGTGGTCGCTAATATTAAATAAAAATGAATATATTTTATTCTAGTCTACTAACTAGGGTTAAAAGCATAGAATACTATAATACACAATGTATTATAGTAATTCTTTGGTTAAAAGGCTCACAACGCAATACTGCGTGGTGGAAGCATATATATATATATATTTTTTTTTTTTTTTTTTTTTTATATATCGTAAATGGACTAATGGCAAGGAACTCGATGAAAAGGCGTGTTAACCTGTAAGACGTAACAGGTTAAGATGCTTATAGGTGACACCAATATTATATTCCGGCATTGTTGTTTCAAACTTTGTACTGAAATGAAACTGACTGAAATGTGATTGGTGCTTTAAGCTATGCAACGTTTTTATTACTCTGCGACGCAGTGGCATAGCATTGACATGTAGCGCTAAGCTAAGTGTTTAAATCCAACGTGGAACAAGTATTTGTATGGCCTACAAATAATTGCTCCGGGTCTGGATATTTGTTAACGTACATTTGCCTCCACAGTACAGAAGAAAATCCTTTTTTGTGGAAAATATTTTACAGTAAAAGAAATAACTATAAAGCACTGAATTGTACAATATAACATATAGACTTGATTACTATACAATTTCAGCTACAATTTGCGGGGAAACTAGCCGTTTTATGAGCGATTTAAGAAAGCCGGTCTGTTAAAATAAGATTTTTTTTAAATAATTCCATGAATTAAGCTTATGAAAATGCATTAATGTCTGCCTAAAAAAGTTAAATAGTAACCACGCAATATCAAAAAGCAGTAACTTAGATTATCAAACATATTCTAACTAAAATAACAAAAAATAATTGTAAAAATTAGATTAAAACTCCAACATGTTTCGATGAGCACACGTTTTACCTTTTACCATCAAAACAAAAAGTTCTAACATAAATCTCAAGAGCTATCTGCATACTCCCACTCTTTATTAAGAAAACTTTAAACATAATTTAACTTTATTTTAAAAGTAATACAAGAAGCTCCGCACGTTGCTTTAAAATGTTCTTCACTACTACGCTGCAAATTAAATTTTTACGAAAAAAATATCTGTAGACATTACAATCCAGGTAAAAGTTATTCATCTCACACCATTTGGCTTTTTAAATAAAGTAAGGGTGACAAATGGGCTCACAATTAACTAATAGTAAGGGGATCCGTTGTTCCCACAGAAAATTTATCTCATTTGCTTACGTTTCTTAAGGTATGATTTTATTTGTAATTTTATATACATATGTTACACATTGACAATACCCAGACCTGGAAAATAATATGTAGGCCATGCACATATTAGTTCCGTGTAAGATTTAAACCTACGAGCTTGCAGCGACCTAACCAAAATACAGTCTACCGTGCCGTCAATTAGTCATCAAAAGTCAGATGCGTCGTTGTTACTAAAGGTTAAGGTTAGGTTAGTTCTGGTGATTAGTATAAATAGCTTCTTTCTCCGGTTAGTTTTTACATATAAATTACATATTTTTATCCAACTATGGTGAAGCTCAAATGGAGTTTAATAATTTTGGTTGGTTTTGCTTTTGTATCCTCCTGAGTACCAGACACGCTTTTTTTAAGTTTCTTCTTAAAACTTTAATATTTCACTGTTTGACCATTACTTAGTACGGGAAAAATATTTAAAAAAATCTATGACAGGAAAACGGGTTTTTCACTATGTTCTACACAAAGTACTTAACTATTATGAACTTCGGGCACTTAACTATTATGAACTTCGTATAAGATGTTATGAATTTTTAAAGCATATTGAGCAGATAAGAGCAACAAATAATAAGTTTTTGAATAATTTTAATATGTTTTATTAAAATTTTCTAAATCAACAGAAATTAAACTTTTCTTCATAACATAATATTTGGAACAAACTAAATTCTTCTTATAAGCTTACTATACTTTAATAATAAAAACATTAGAGATCAAATTTTTTTCTTATATTTAATTTTTTTTGGAGTTGCATGTATTAATGTTCATGGAAATTAGTAAAACAATTACGATTAGGCGTATAACATAGATAAATTTCACATTTTTTGCAGAATACCGTAGTTTTTTTATCGCAGCCTTTCTTCCTACAGCGAAATTGTTTTGTACCGTATTCTGGCAAATGCGCTGCACTTTTGGTACGGTTTTCTTTGGAAGGAACTGGTTTAATGAGAACCTTGCGTTTTTTATGTTTTGGCTCCAGTTCTTCGTATTCATCTTCAAGTTCATCATCACATACTTCTTCATTATCATTAATCAGTTTTGTACCCAAATTCAGTTTGTACTCTCGCATTTGTACTATATTTTTCTTTAGTGTACCCTTCTCGACTTCTGTCATTCTATAATGCAACCAAGCGTTTACCACGCATAGATCGAAAAGATGATTTCGCGTATTGTCCACTTTTTTGTACGATTGCGTGATGGGCAAACAGAAAGCATACGATCTGCGAGATCGACACCACCCATTTTTTCGTTATAAATTTTGATAACGTCTGGCCTTTTCACCTTTTCGTATGCCCTATTTTGCTTTGACCATCGCTCGCATTTGACATAATCTTGACCGCAATAACAAGTTGACATCATTAGAACGGGCTTATTATCAAGCCACATTGTCACAGCGAGTTTTTGGTCTTCTCTAACTTCTACTTCGCTACTTCCTCTCGCTCTCTTTTTAAACGTCTTTTCATCAGTTAATACACAGTTTTTCGGGATTCTATTCTTCATAATAGTGCCTGTAGCATGAAATCCTAGTCTTAGCAATTCATCACAAAGTTTAGCCGTCGTGAAGAAACGATCAAAAAATAGTATATGTCCCGGGACTAAACTTCTTGTCATATGGATTACGGCTGCTTCTCCCAAACAAAATCCTTGGTTGATTAAGTGAGGGAATGTAGAATCTCCCTGATATACTGCCATGTCGCAAACTATACCTTTTGGCGAGGCTAAGACAAAAACTTTGAGGCCTGTTGGGTTGGGTTTGTTTGGACAGTATTGCCGCATTGGACATTTTCCCAGTAAAAGGAATAATCATTTCGTCAATACTCATTTCCTGAGGATGATTTTGTTCATGACATCCGGCTAATATGCTATCAAATAAAGGCTGGACTTTCCATATTTTTTGACTTTTTTGTTCGTTGGTCACTTCTGGGTCGTAAACGCATTTTAATCTCAGTCTAATGAAAAAAAAATTATTACGGGTCTTAGCTCTGGCTATTATTGGAACTTTCCATGTTTCAGACCAAAACATGGAAATTTGTGGATATTGCAATGCGGACATGATCATGGTAATACTATATAGACCTTAAGCTCCTTTAGACTTAGTCCCATCGATATACCGGTCTCTAATACTTGTGTCCTATTGGTGCATGTTACTATGCAGTTTAAAGTATCATCATCTACGTATTGCTCATAAAACTGTTACCACTCCCATTCGTTAGAACTTTTATTGATGTAAGCAGGTTGCATCAAACTATTAATTTTTGAATCTAGTGTCTCGTGTACCCAAGTATCTTGAATTCCTGCGTTATATTGTCGAGTTCTTATAGCTATTTGTCGAGGGGATATTAACTGTAAGCTTTCACCTCTACCACGGCTACGACCACAACTCTGCCTGTGAGATGTTCTCCTTGCACGTCCTCTTGCTCGTAATAAGTATGACGAAGTTGAAGGTGAGTCTGAGTTGTCTGACACTGTTGGAGAAGCCACCGAAGTAACCAAATCATCTTCATCCTCGCTCGAACTACTGGATTCGCTTTGAGCATGATCACGGATAGTTTGATTGATTTCTGGTGGATGAAACTCTGGATCTTCATCTGTATCATCTCCAGAATAATCGAACTCGGAGTCATTCAAAACTTCTGCGATGACGTTAGATGTTAACCCTGAAAAAAAAAACACAATATTTGAAGAAAACGTAAACGTACTTTATATAGATACTTGGGTAGGCAGTCGAGAAAAATATTAATTGCATACTTTTGTACTTTGAAGAGTACATAGAAGAAAATATCAAGGTCACAGCCCGAGTATTTAATTTATATTTACAATAACATTTTGAACAATTAGTTTGCACAACCAATAACTTCTTTTATACAAAAAAGTATGAAATCACCTATAAAATTATACAATTAATATGGATTAACTTACCTTTGCATAAACGCACATTCATTCGCCCACCTTCCAACGCCATTTTTAAAAAAATGACAGTAGATATTGTGACGTTTTACTTTTTTGTCGTAACGCGTAGATCGTCACTAGTAAAATATTTTAGCTCTAGTAATGAAAACGAAGACCACAGATTTTTATTTTTCTTACGTACTATGAGTAGTACAGATGTACGCAAGAGGGTATGACGGACGTAGAAACCAAGATCCACTTATATAAGTGCGCCCGTAATTCTGACGTCAGATTTTGCCAAATGATATATTATGAATCATTTTAGGGTTCCGTAGTCAACTAGAAACCCTTATGGATTCGCCATGTGTGTCTGTCCGTCTGTCCGTCCTCGCTTAATCTCCGTGACCGTTAGCACTAGAAAGCTGAAATTTGGTACCAATATGTGTATCAATCACGCCGACAAAGTGGTAAAATAAAAATCTGAAAAAATGTTTTATTAGGGTAGCCCCCCTATATGTAAAGTGGAAAGTGATTTTTTTTTTAATTTCAACCTTAACGTGTGATATATTGTTGGAAAGGTATTTAAAAATGAATAGGGGTTTACTACAATCATTTTTTGATAATGTCAAAAAATTCGGAAAAAAACGCCCCAAAATTAAAAAACAATGTGTGCCCCCCCCCCCCTCTAACTTTTGAACCATAAGTTTAGAAAATATGAAAAAAATCTGAAAAGAGTAGAACTTTATAAGGACTTTCTAGGAAAATCGTTTTGAACTTGGATGGAAACAACAGTACCCAATACCGGGAGCAGTTGCAGGAAAGCGGAGCGCTGCTGGAGCGCGAACATAGTGGATACCCAACTTTAAACTCATAAGTGGGAACCCTACACTGAGCGTGGCCCGACACCCTCTTGGTCGCTTTTTTTTATAGAATAGGATGCAAATGAGAGAGTTTGGAGACATACGGCTTACCTGATGGTAAAGTTTTACCGTGGCCAATGAACATCTGCAATAACAGAGCAATTGTAGATGTGTTGTGAACAGAAAGGAGTAGTTCTCGAAGGTCCCTAAGTCGTATCGGCCGAGAAAAACCGCTGGCGACAGTAAATTCCACAATGTAGTTAAAGCGTGGTAGAAAATTCCTAGAAAACGCACGGCAATGGACTGCTAAAATTTAAGATGATGTGGATGGAATTTCAAATTCGTAGCCTAGCGGATCTGGTTGATTGTAACGAACTTGGTCGTCGACAATGTGAGCCGCTTTTCGTTGAACGTGGCTGAGTGGAAGGAGCTGGTAGCATTAACTGTATGGCGTCACTACAGGACCCTATATTCTTTAGTGTCATATATTTATAGGCATAGGTGTAGGCATATATTTATACAATATAACCATCCTTACGGGGCAAAGATGTTTGTTTTATATAGTAACGAAGATAAATGAGCACACCAACCAGATGGTAAGTTGTGGACCCATAGATATCTACATTTTTCTTCGATTACGACTCAAAATGCAGATGCGTTGTCACCCGTGAGGACTAAGATGAACTGCCTCGTTTTCAGTACAATGGGTCTTCGGTTTTCTACAGTCACTATACAAAACAAAGTAGCGTTAAGTTGCCATTTAACGCTGGTATTCTGTGAGATAATTTTATTTTATTGCCAAAATATTGACTGTCAACAGTTTCTAAACAGCGGTCACCAATTATATTATCTGGAGTTCTGATTAAGGTCAATTCCTCTTCTTAAGTTAAATCTTATTAAATTGTACGGCTTTAGAGATGACTGATTATATGTAAAACCTTAAAAAATAGAAAATAAGGGAGACTAGCCATCTGCGCAGGACAGGATTATGGTGCACGAGTGTGTGTACGTAATTCCCTCACTCTTAGTGCTTGGCTAGACTGCAAACGCGGACGCGGGGCGGGTGCGGCGCGACGTACTCAAACAAGGCCTTCCTTTGAGTGTCCATAGTAACCACGTGGGCACGGAGTGGACGCGGTAGCGGACGCGGGCTGGTTGGCGTAGGGAGCGCGCCGGAAACTTACGCCATGCATCTTCGATCAATTATATAGATTAAGGATCAGGAACAAAAATAAGTCGCAAAAGTGGCCACCTTTGCACACACATAAACATCTATCTATCTTAGAAAAAAGTTTAATAACATTAACAACTTCAGTTCATTATAACACTAACATAAAGTTTATTCACCATTGAAAAATATATTTATTTAAGTCCTTTCATCAGAGAAATGTAAAAAGCAATAAGTTAAGAATGTCGCTTGAAAATAAAAAGTCGTAGGTAAGAAAATATTTATTCTAAAATGAAACTTAAACTCTTTAGTAATAATGTTAAAAACTATTTATTATATTATGTTGACATTTTCGTACTTACTCTAATTTGGTAGTAGAGGTAGTTCTTGGTATTATATTTCAATGCTCGGAACACAGTAAGTATTGAAAGACGTAGAGTTGCAGAATATAAATATTTTATAAAAAGGGTCGTTTTGTATGGTGGCAAATATTTTTACCGATTTATAAAAGTAGTAGGACTAAGGAGTAGTATTATAGTATTAAATGAGAGGTCATCAATTTCTTTTTTAAATACCCTTTTCTAGGAGTGTCACATATCGATGTTAAATCTGATAATCATGCATTAGGAGACTTCAAGCAAACTGCATCGGCCCGAGGTACATCACGTATTTCTGTGGTATTTCAAAAGTTAAAATTTATTGAAAACAATTTTAAAGTATTTCATGAAAATACCTACAGGTATAGTTTTTTCTGATAAAGATTTTTTTTTAATTACCTTATTTGATAACTCTTTAGTCATTCTGAACTAAAGCTGATTGCACTTTTATTGGTCCGTGAATTTAAAAAAAGTCATAAAAAACTTATTTTTTACCAAAAACATTGCATTACACTAACCATTTTACTACATTATGATAATTACCTGTAATTTGGGAACCGCTGTTTTTTGTAATCTACGTTTGAGTGTTCCAGTTACGTCCAATCAATCAAAATGAATCGAACATATTCTCAAAGGCGTTTATATATATATATATATATATATATATATATATATATATAAAGGTTTTTTTTTATATATATATATATATATATATAGTTTTTCTCCTCTTTCTTTCCGACAATAGATACTCATTCTGCACAGCGAAATGGGTCCCTAGGAAATATACAAACCAAAAAAATATAATTAATAATAATACTACTCCATGCATGTTTGTTCGAGAACAGTCGATGTTTGTTACAATAGTTGATGCGATGCAAACATTGGCCAAACAATCATAATATTAGCTAATTAAATTATTTTTGCTATTTAATTCTGTTTTTATTTATGAAAAACACTTAATGATATAAACTTACCGAAAAAAGATATTTCTTCCAAAATCTTGGTGTTATAGTGGTTATTTGCGCAGTGTTTTTCATTGATACTCTCCGATATCCAAAAAACCTTTGAGTTTGCGCTCGCAATTTTACATAAATAGTGTGAAACTCTCCCTCGTTTTTTTCTGGGTAAATTGATTTTATTAATTCAAATTTTCACGTGTAGAATTTGCCATAAGTAAGAACTTTCCAGTAAAAATAAGTCTTCCTCATACATATTATTGTTTGACAAACACTGATGACGGCAACACTCGCGACCGAACAGACACGTCGCGCCCGAACCTGCATCCGCGCCGCGTCGCGCACTTTCGTTTGCAATCTGATCAAGTACTTATAGTCCAATGGGACGGTAATACGATGAGCCTGACGAAGAACCAACGGATTTACCTGTTCTCCGAGGCAAGGGAGTGAACTACTGCCGGTTTTCTCACTACGGGCTAGTTTTCACAAATTCTTTACAGAAAAACAAACATTTTGGTTTTGGCCTAATCCTTACCCGGAAACAATAATTACAACATTGATTATATTTTATTGCAATTTGATTGCTAGCTAGTAGCGTAGTGACTATGCATTTGGCTGCGACGCTCCGGGCCTTGGGCTCCACTCCCGGTCTCGATGCCAAAAAACCAGGATAAAAGCAATATATGTACGTGGTAGAGCCATGCTGCAGTTATATTAGTAGTATAGTTGTAGCACGAATGGCCGACCCATTCGGATCTCTACCGGATAAAGACACGATCACAGAACACCAATGTGAAATGGTAGCTTGATGCTGCTGTGTTTCGTATGGTGAGTGTAGAGAACCGGAGACCCTTTTTACTGGAAATGAGGCATTCCATCTTAGTCCTCACGGGTAACAACGCATCTGCATTTTGATTCGTAATCGAAGATTCATGTAGATGTCTATGGGCCACAGCAATTAATTACCATCACGTGGACTGTGTGCTCGTTTGTCACCCTATCCTATAAAAAATATGGTATAGTTTTAGCAATTAATGTATACTTATTTGGTTTAAGTTGAAATTTGTAAGCAGCAAAGCACTTGGCATCTACGCTGCGGAACGCTTGTTCGAATTCTACTCGAAATAATATTTGTATGGTCTTAAAATAATTGTTTCGAGTAAAAAATTAATATAGTGTACGTAAACCAATGAGTGAGAAAAAGGCCAATAAGTAGTATAATGTCTTCTTTTTATTTTCAAGGTGTCAAAAGTCAGCGTTTCAGTTTTGTTTATATAAGATTCTTTTGGTTGCTTACATTGCTTTAATTTGCAATTTAATTGCAACACAAAAATAACCTTCCTCAAATTCTTCCTCTTTCTCAAACTCTTCCTAAAATTCAGACAAATTTTTATTATGAAACAGTTTCTGCATTTTCCGTGCGGTATATAGATTTTTTTACGATTAATACATTTTTTTTCTCTTACTCATAGTCTATGTGATCGAATTAATCGCCAAACTATATCAAAATACGCGTAAATCAATCTTTGTATTTGGTTTATATAATCGTTAATATTATTGTTTACTTAACATCTTTGCAAAATGACAAATGTCAATTTATGATCTTGTTATAATTTTTTAAATATGTACTTGATAAGGGCTTCGTTATTAAAATTTGAATAGATTTGAAAAATTACCTACCGCAAACATGAAAAAAAAACTTATGTACAAAG